CTAATCTATTTATCTATAATTTTAATAACATTGTAGGTATTGGTAAGCATCTGCGGTTTTTTGCCACTAGGTGGTGTTGGTACCCATATATCTAGCAACACTAACCCGGTTATGTTAAAGTAACATGTCTTAGAAATGTAACATTTTTTGTGAAGTTCCATGAAATTCTGTCATTGGTTTATCAGAATCGACATGCAACTGACAAGAAATAGCACTAAACATAAACCCTTTTTTTTTTGTTTTTTTTTTATTTATTTGCGCCTAGTTAAAAACAAAAACTAATTAGCAATATTTTTACATCGAGGACATAAAATAATCGATATTAATTTTTATTTGTGTTAATACAGTAGAATGATTAGTTTATGAATGATTAATTTGTTAAATCAGCCTGTTTGGTTCTCTTAAGCCATCGTATGAGGTCGTCTGTTTGAGGGAGTGATGTGTTGCAGTGAACTTCAAGACTTTTTTATGTGCTTTAGTCTGAAGCGTGATTAGTTCAGGAACTGTCGGAACATCCAAGTCTCGATAAATGTTGTTGTGACGGACATATCATGGAGCATTGGTAAATGCTCTTAGGATGTTGTTTTGATATCGCTGGATTGCCTGCTTATATACCATTAACTTGTTTCCGATTGACAGTACTGAATGTCGTCCAAGTAGCCATTTAATTGAGTTGAACTTAAAATTAAGTTTTTGACAGTTTTTTTTTTGACATATTCACACCATCGAAGTCTCGCATCAAGATTCATGTCCAAGTATTTAGCTGTATTAGCGTATGGAATTTGTTGTTCGTCAATATACAGAGGTATGTATATTATTTGCTTATATGTGAACACAACATGTACAGTTTTCAGGGTATTTAGTTTTATTTTCCATTTATTAGTCCACTCTAGCATGTGGTTGAGAACGGCTTAAAGGTTCTTATTGCAATTGTTTTGATATATTCGAGGGATAGCATCAGTATTAGTGTTGTTTAGCGTGGGTACCTGCCTTGACGGCTTAAGACCCTGGTGTTTTATAAACACATGTATCAAGATAATGCGCCGATAAATACCCTATTGGAAATTCCAAGGAATTTCCGCTGGTACTAATAAAGTTATGTGTTCAAGACATATCTCTACCTCGGTATAGCACAAAGCCTACGAAAACCCGGTGATTGAATGATAAACAAATACTAATTATTCTACCCGCGTTAAATTGGGTATTAATTATAGCCACTATGAGTCCAACCTCAACTGATCAGCACAGCTGAAGTTGCGGGCCACTGACCCCCGTAGTATCAGATTTACAAATTTGGTCGATTTATACACTCCTGAATCGTGTCGGTATAGCGCCGGGATTTTAGTCGCCTCTTATGACACATACACCTACCTCCGGAATGTTCGAACGCCTTACCTGCGGGGGGAATCTTCCGCATGAAAGTAGCACTACATCATCTGCAAAATTTGAAATTGTAGTGTTATTAATTCTCGGAATACCGTGTGTATACAAAAGATGTAATAACGAGCCAAGGATGCTACCCTATCTCTCAGAAAGACACGATTCAAAAAAAAAAATGGCGTACTTCATTGGCAGAATCGTTCTTATTTCATAAAACAGACTTTTGTGCCACACTTTATCGTTTTGTTTTCAAATACTTTTCGATAATATTTGTTATTCTGTGAATCTGGCCAATTGTAGAATGTAGAGTTGGTATAACATTGTTTTCTGATTTGACAGAGTGTATGCTTTTTAAAATTGCTATTTCAAGTATCTTGGATATGATTGGCAATTATGATATAGGTCTACATGACGATATCTCTTGCGTAGGTTTTCCCGGCTTTAGGATTATAATTACTTCCAATATTTTCCACATAATTGGTACATGATTTAATTGAAGTGCAGCGTTTAGTATTTGCGTTAGCTTAAAGATACATGTGACAGATATCTGACGCAATATTTCAGTAGTAACCATATCAAATTCATATCAAATTCTTTAATTGAAGTCCAGAATTATTAATATCAAAACATATTGTCAGATGCGTACATCTAATAGGACCTGATGACTGACGATAGACTGACGTGCTGTCATTAATCATTTTCACCTTCCTAAACAAAGTAACAGTATTGCCAGATGGGTCCATCTAATAGGACCTGATGACTGACGATAGAGTCACGTGTTATCATTAAACATTTTCTCCTTTCTGATCAAAGTTACAGTATTGTCAGATGGGTCCATCTAATATGGCCTATTGGCTGACAATAGACTGACGTGCTATCATTTTTACCTTCCTGATCCATGTTACAGTATTGCCAGATGGGTCAATCTTATATGATCAAACCTGTATATATTAATGTATATATTATATACTAATATTTTATAAACTTATGCGTAATTATTTACTAGAGGACACCTATTTTCGAAGGATTTAATAAAAAATTGCATTTTTGGGCACGATTTGATATGCATGGCTAATATTTTTTTGTATATTTGCGATTATTTTTCTTTTAGAGAAAATATAAAAAAAATATATCAAAATTTAAGAGGAAAAATAATTGCATTTGTGCAATATTTTTAAAAATTGCTACAAAGGTTTAGGAAAATGTTACATGCAACAATTGATATGCGCTATTGTCGTCAGCAGGATAAACAAACAATGGTTGTAATTACTGGCAACTAACATGCACATATTCAATTCAAAAAATGTTGTCAATAAGAATAATAGTAGCATGTGAATCAGAACTATATTCAAAAGTTGCTGGATATGAACTTTGACGGCCTAATAAAGTCTTAAGTTTCGGTTTTATTGTGTTGTCACTAGTTTGCTGCTTTCCATGATTTTGCTTTTTTATTGTTTTTATTGTAAACAGCAAAATTGTTGTAAATTTATATAATAAATTTTTCACCAGTTTAAGTTTTTTTGTATTTAATTTAATTTTTAAATATAATTGTGGTGACAGAAAACTATTTTACTAATGATTTTTAAGTAGCAATGAATGAAAACCACAAAGTTTTATTTTTTAATTAATTGAATTTTTTGTTTTAAATGTAGCCAAATACTCATTATCAATGAACTTCGGCTAATACATATTATCAGTTTAGAACTTCGAACCTGTCTAATTTAAAGCAAGGGACTAGCACTCTTATTACCCAAACAAGCCAAATCCACACCCAACTTTCGTTGTTCAAATTTTAAGTTTGAGATTTCTTCATTCAGAGAAGTGATTTTCATTTAGAATACGCTTATAAGCCACTGTTGCCTTCAGACCGACAGAAAATATTGTGACAGTACTCCTTTTGAAGGAGTTACGGTTCCTCCACCGCCATCTCTTTTACAGACTCCTGTCTAAGCACGCAACTTTATCCGCAACCTACGACCTCAAAATATCTAGTGAGTAGCCTGGGGGTAGGGGTTTGAAGGAAGTAATCTTCTTCCGATTGTTTGGTTCGCGGGAGGTATTTTATTTCCCTCCTGCCACGCGATAACGAGAGGCATCCGCTATCCGCCACTTGCGACGCGTCTTCTGGGGGTTACAGCCTTCACCGAGTGGCTACTATATGTTTAAATAAAATTAGGTATATAATTAAAATAAATTTTCAACACAGAAAACCGTCGGTACTTTTTACATCACCTTATATGTATTGTAAATTTAACTTATACGAAAAAGTTACAAATTGACAATATCTTACGCAGACACATTATTATTATCCTACAAATATGGTATGTAATGTTTTTACATGCGCCTGACTTTATAAGTAAATTACAGAGAGCTATTAGGGTTCTTGACAGCATTATTTAGTAAACTCAATTCCTAATCAAAATTGATTTTAATCAAAAACTTAAATAATTTAAAACAATTTTTTGATATATGAAATAAAACTAAAAAAAAGTATTTGTTTATAGCGTAGATTAAAAATATATATAGGCGACGGGGCTGCGAGAAAAAACATATCCACTGTATATAAAAACTGTCTATTGATATTAAGTATTTATTTCTAAAAAACAGATAAACTATAATATTTAAATAAATATTTACCCATACACATTTTATATATAAGTATAAGTCTCATAAAACTATATGATAATAAAATAAAATGGTATCTGATATCGTATCAAATTGCATAGCCTTCGATGCATCACATTTTTTCTAAGTAACATAATTTTCTTTATAAGTAATGGTCCTTTTTCCAGGTTTCAATGGGTCAATAACTATGCGGTGCGTTTTAGTTTGCTTTATTAAATGACGTCTTTTATTTATATTTACTGTTTCTTGACTTATTTTTGGGGTGATGAATATTTGATGGGTGAGCAGTTTATCATATATGGATGGATGGCATAAGTGTAGTAATTCGTACGCAGAGTAGAGTTAACCAAATCTATGAATATATTTATCACATTTTGGAAATATATTTTTTAAAGTGATTTTTCAATTTATTGTAATACAAAAGAGTTTTTAGTAAGTAATATATTTTTAACTATAGAAATGTATGTGATGCCTATTTTTTCTTATACCCCATATTTAATTACACCACAGGATAAACCAGTCATACACAGCGTTTAGGTGTTGGACGAATTTTCTTTTTTTTTCTTAGTCTATACATATTTTTATCCGAAGCTAGCAGAAGAGTCTCATTTGCGTATAAGCAAATGTTTGACATTGATTTCAAATATATTGGATGAAAAGAGTATGTAAGTTAGGTAATTTACAGTAACTGTTTTTTAAGATATTTGTAGTTCCTGGATTAAAGTGTTTTTCGGAAAATCGATTCCTTGACGGTCCATATTTGGGTAAATATTGAAAATGAATAAAGGAACCCTTACATCCAAACAGTTTATCAGACTTCTAGGGTCAATGAGCTATATCCCGAAATATCATATACATTTTACACTTTCTCTTAATATAATTTGATGTTTTAATTCAAATATTTTTTTTTGAATTATTTTTAATATTAGTAAGCATTGAAAATTTCTAAAAGTTAAAGTTATCAAATTTTATATTTTTCGAATTAGTAAGTTTTTTTTAGCCAATCAGTTTGTTCAGAAATCGTCTTCAGTAAATTAGAAGACATCCGTATAATAAATTCCAAATTTCTTTTTTTTGGCATATATTCTCGTTCTTGTTCAATAAAATTTTCAATTGGATCAATAGAGCTGCTCAAACCTACAAGTTGGAATTATTCTGTATCAAGTAATCTCAATATATTATTACTACTTAGTCTTGTTTTTCAAGAGCAATTTGTCTAGTAAGTAGTTAGCATCTTAGTAAAATAATTAATTACTATTAATCAAAATTTCAGTACCCAACATTTTTTATGGTAAAAATCTGAAATGCAATACAAAGATTGAGTTAAAATTTGATGTTCTGAGTGTTACATCATAAGCAGTTTTTGAAATTTCATGAGAAATCTACAAAGTTATTCAACCTGTGGTTCCGAAATTTAAGGTAAATAAAACACACCTATTGAGATTTAAAAATTTCATATCAATATATTGTTTGGATCTTATTTCACCATTAAGTGTGAAATAATCATTTATTCAAATGTCCTCCAAAGATCATTTGCAATATTGCATCCTTTCAATTACCTATCTATACATAGTTGCCAATATTTTGGCTCTAGCAAGTCGTTGATGGATATTCGTTTTTTAAGTGTCGAGAATTTGAGGATTGTCTGAATAAACACGATCCTTTACATAGTCCTACAAAATAAAATTTTTTAACGTATCATGTTTTTACATCCATAACACCAATTTCACTCCAAAAAAGTGGTAATTAAGTGGTTATAGTGATTAGGATTTGTAGCCTATGTCACGTTTTCTGGTATGGTTTGGAAAACCATACTTATTATGCCACTTGTATATTTTTATTACTTTTAATGCAAATATTTTTCTTTGATGATATGTCTATAAAGTCAAAAATTTTCTTTAATTTTATTGACTCTGTTAAACGATTTATGTTATAAACTGGTAAGCCTTTAACTAAATACACGATGCCGTAAATCAGGGCTGTCCAAGCCAGATGCGATCGTAGGCAAATACAAATCACTATACAGATTAAAGGGTTGCAGAAACAAATATTTATTATAGCGTCATAGTTGTTTTGGAGAAAACTGTAGACATGCTTGTCGCAAGAGGCGACTAAAATCTCGGCGCTATGCTAACAGTTGTGCAAGAAGTGTACATGGTAGTAGGTGTGGTCCCAGTCTGTGACACTTGACCAGAGGTATAAATCTGGTACTACTGAGGTCAGTGGCCCGCAGCCTCGGCTATGCTGACTAGTTGAGGTTGGACTCGTAGTGGCTGTGGTTAATACCCAAACTTATGCGGGAATTTATTATTCATTCGGCGTGGAGTTGCGTATTCATCATCGGGTGTTGAGACCCAAAGATTATAAGAGGTTTTAGGTAAGCCTCACATCAAACCAAGGTGGAAGTTATGTCTTGCACACATTTCTTTATTGGCACAGGCGGAAATTGTTTGAATTTTCAATGGGGCGTTGATTGACGTCTAGTATTAATACGCGTGTTTTTGAACACCATAGTGTAAAGCCTCTACGGCATAGAACATTACGTAAAATAACAGTAATGATCTAGATGTTAAGTCAAAACTGCGAAACTGGACAAATCTTCAAAACTATTTTAAAAATTCGTTTTATTAAACTCACTATTGAAGTATTTATTTCTACCTATTAATTACAGATATCAATCTGAGAGTTGGTTGAACTACTTTTTAATCCATAATTCAAAAATTATTTGTGATAACAGGTAAGTAACAAAGTAAGAATGTTCTGGAGTTGAAAATACAACAAAATTTAATTTTTTTAAATATATATTTAATTTTATCTATCTTACTATTATGATTTTAAGTTGCCTTATAGCTCGTTGATTTCAAGTGAGTACTACTGGAGAATTGAACGTTATTATCCAAGTTTTTTTAAACACTGAATTCTATAGATAACATATATTATTTATGATAACAGGTAAGTAAGAGAGTAAGAATGTTCTGGAGTTGATAATATGTACAACAAAATTTAATTTTTTATATATATATTTAAATTTATCTATCTTACTATTATGATTTTAAGTTGCCTTATAGCTCGTTGATTTCAAGTGAGTACTACTGGAGAATTGAACGTTATCATCCAAGTTTTATTAAACACTGAATTCTAAACTACATATATGCTTTTCACTGTGAGTATTAAAAACATTTAAATTAAGCTCCATTATTTATTAAATTGGTTTTCCTCTTCAATTTATCACAGTAAAATGCTTGGAATCGTGATCACTTGAATTTAATTTTGTGAACTTTTGATTTAGAAATATGTCGGGTAAATTCACTAAAGCATTAGCGCGATTCGTTCTAAGGCTTAGTATTTTGAATAACAATGAAAGTATACCTGTAATCCAATATTTCATTCCATCAATAATTATTGGTATGGGCGTTTTCTTTCTTCTACGTTATATGCAAGCTTGGTTAAAAGAGGATAAAGATAAAGTATAAAGAAATTATTTATATTGTTTATTCATAAAAAAAGGATTCATTTATAGGTGAAGTCGCAAACTGCAGCTGATAATCTTGTAGAAGAAACCAAAACGAAACCCAAAAAACGTGGCTTGAAGAGATATGTTAAAAAAGTTAACAAGAAAGACATGGACGTGTTTAGCTCAAAATATGTTGACCGTAGTTAGTAGTTTTTTTACAATTTTATGTAAGTTAATAAAATACTTATTAGAGTTTTTTATCCAGGTTTATATCACACACGTAGATAAAATGTGGATTAGCACCATTTTTTTGAAAAGCCAAACTCTATTCGTAAGAATGATGTAAAGTAGTTAAAAAATAAAATATAACAAAAAGGAACTACATGGACCCAATTGGTGTTAAAAAAGCTGGGTAATTATAATTATAACAATTATAAAAAAAAAAATATTTATATTTATATAATATTCAAATTTTGTTGATATTTTGTTTTTTTTAGATTTCTTGAATATTGTAGCAAGAAGCTAAGATAATAAGAAACTAAAATGATCCACCGATACAAAAATTATATGTAAGAAGTAATATTATTTGATGTGATTATAAAGTACAAAGTACAATTCGAACATTTACATTTGTTTCAACAAAATTCAAGTCATAGAATGTGTATTACAACAGTTGTAACAAAAAAAAAACAAACAATTAAATAGTCACCAAACAAACAAAACCCAAACTCATTTTTTTACTTACATTAGTTAGACCAAAAATAAGGACCTGGACCAGTTACAGGATCGGGCTTCAAATAGCATTTTATGCTTCGCAAAAGGTTCTAGGTGGTTTTAAACCCTGAGGTTTTTATTATTTATATACGGCATCACAATGGGCCAATAGGCCTAAGTGGATCCACTAGGGATCACCGGTATAACCTAACCTAGACCATAAATAATTATATTTGCTGCAAAATAAATTTACCAAAAAAAAAGATAATTTTCAATACCTAACAAATTCCCACCACAGAGCATTTATCATAAAGAAGTTCGCGATTATATGCACTAATAATTCATTTAAGCAAAGAAGTAAAATATGAAGTCCTGCAGTATCTAGCTCAGGCCCTATGCTCCCCTTAGGAGAGAAGAACAGCAGTAAGTAAGTTAGTAAGTATCTAGCTAGGTGACTAACTAGAATAGTTTAACGAATGCATTCCAAAAATATTGTTTATGATTGCCAATACTTGCTGTCTTCTGCACGCAAAGATCAGGGGACAGGGGACGGAATGATACGTAGATTATTATAAAAAAATCTGATATCAATATTAACTATTAAAAAGTACATGATTATCAATTTAGTGTGAAAGATAGCTTAAGAGTGTAATTATTAAGAAAAAGTCTAATATATAGTAAGGTGAGGAATATGTTGATTAGCAAAATATATAAAAACCAGTTAAGGCCAATGTGAAGGAAGCTTGCCAGCTGAAATAAATGGGGAATATCTTAAATAAATTTCAGACGATTTTGATGCATCAGTTTTGAACCCATAATTTACTGATTTTAGGTCCTAAAGGGATCAATAGTCAATAGTTTTTTGCATACATCGATATAGTGATCATTCGATTGGTCGAAAAACTCCAAAGAGCTCAAACGAAAATCATCCGGAAAATAGTCAGTGTCGTCTAGTATACAAAAAACGCAAATATTCATAGAGTTCTTAGAATAAATACAATCACAGATATAATTGTAAGCAACACACAGAAGTACGCAATCAAACGCAGAGACCACCAAAACCAGTTGCAAGCAGTCTTACCTAAAGTTCTGGAACCCAGCGACTTAAAAGAAGTTATATAAACCGTGTTATTGAAGAATAACGCCCGACGTGGAAACAAAATTGTGCGAAACTTTGGCTAAGGACAACTAATTAACTAATTAACTTTTGGTATTAGGTACTGTTTGTTTACTGCTTCTCGAATCTTTATTCCGTACTTTTAAAGAGGAGTGATAACTATTTAATAGAGTAATGAGTAATTTATTTTACTTTTTTGAAATAGTGTTTTTCTGTACAAAACAGCACATTGTACGTAGCACTATCTAATCTCAGAATAATCTCTAGCCGCACGGGGCGATACGCAGATCTTATATCAGTTATCGAATAATCACGAAGCTTTTGAGGAATACTTAAATTAGTCAGTGAGAAGGGTGGGACTCTGCAGAAACCCCCAGCTGTGAAAGAGTAAAAGTACCCAGATGCATTAACTCGAAAAAGACTCGAATGAATATATATGTTTAATATATGATTTTAAAAAAAATATTTATATTAGTGTATATATATATATATATATTATATATATAATATATATATATATAATATCTGTAATTACAGAGAATTTTGTACAAATTCATTTTTGAACATCGAACAAGTATATCTCAAATTTTGTATATGTTGTGAATAGTTAAAAGTAAATTAGTACTTTATTTGCAAAAATTATTTTATTGAAATTAATAGCAAAAACTAAAGCATTATATATAATAACATTTTTAGAAAATAACCTGAAACGTTTTTACATAATTCTGAGTTTTATATTTTATATAGTTCTTCTCTTATCTATTCTGAACTTTTAGAGAAATACATGTTAATTAAACTCTTATATATTCTTTGAAAGATTATAAAAGAGTTATTATTACAATACACATTCTTAATAAATAATTGCAGATGTGCCTTAAAATGAGTTATCTTGTTCTCCCATAGCCCAACAATAGTAATTACTGTACCTTGCACATTAACAATCTATTTTTCAACTGCACTACACTGCGTATACTTATTTTACTCTCGACTCAATGAAGAAAGTGAATGATTTATTATCTTTAATATAGAATGGACTTATCCACTTCACTGGTACACTTCTATGTCAAAGTGCTAATAAGATTTTTGCTTCCAGTCGCGGTATATATTTGTATTCTAAAATGTGATGGGTTCTCAGTCTTCATCGAGATTCCAACTTTATTGAAGACTTTTTTATGCATATACAGTGTTGTGCATAACAAAAGCAACCAAAATTTGCCCATCAAATAAATAAGTTTTTTGTCTACTTTTTACTTTTCATTCAAAAACTTAAATACAGAGTTTTATTTGTTATTGTATTAGCTATTATAAAAAAACAACAAAATCTACAATTCTAAATAACGGGTTAAATAATTCACAAAAATAATGAGATATTGCGAAATGCGGCTGTGCAGAACAATAGCAACTTTATTTATTATATTAAATTTTTGTATTATTTTTCTAAATTTTGTATAAAGCCCTTTGCTTTTTATTACTTGGGCACTTCTACGGGTCATAGGTGATATTAAATTGTTAATAAAACTATTTGGAATTTCATACCATTCCTCTTTCATGACCTCAAACATTTGGAAACTTTTCCACCTCCAAGGCGACGTTTGAGAATACCAAAATGTTCTCAATTGAATTAATATCAGGTGTTTGGGCTAGCTAATCTAAAATTTGAATTCCATTTTTCAAAATCCATTCTCTTATCAGCTTTAAGGTGTGTTTTGGGTGGTTATCGTACTGATATACCCGTCGGAGTGACATTTCTCATCCGCCATGGGGTACCATATGGCTTTCTAAAATTTTTTTGTACACATGTTGGGCTATTATTTGATGAATTTCATGAAAAGGTCCAAGTCTAAATCCTGAGAAGCACGCCCAAATCATTACTGACCCATCCCCATGCTTCACCGTCGCATGCCAGTTACGCGGCTATTATTTGATGAATTTCATGAAAAGGCCCAAGTCTAAATCCTGAAAGGAACGCTCAAATTATTACTGACCCATCCCCATGCTTCACCGTCGCATGCCAGTTACGCGGATATAAACGTTTTTTTTTCGCGACGTACTGTGCACATCCTATCAGATTTAGAGATATTTAATTTCGATTTATTGCTGAGAAAAACTGTTTTCCATTTAACAAGTATTCAATTTTAGTGATATCGTTCAAAATTAATATTAATATTATTTCATATTAATATTAATTAGAGCAAAACAAAAAATCTAGTTCTATTGCAAATGCTATTTAGGTAACCTTGGTTTTTTGACTGGTCTGTAACTTTTGAAACCTGCTTCAAGAGTACGCTTGCGTACTATATTTGAGTCCACATATAGTTTAAGCTCATCTACGATCTTTTTAAACGCAATGAATGCTTTTTTTTTGTAATTCATATGATGTTTCGATCAATTCTATGAGTACTCTAACAAGGCGCTTCACCCAAATAAACCGTTTTAACGGTATTTTGTCAAATTATATTTTTTTAAAAGCTGCGAAACAATTAACTAATTAATTTTAAATATTTTGGCTATTTCATTTGAGCACTGCCATTTAAATATTTTTCAATTCTTGCTTCTTTAAACTTCAAAGTATACTTGTCTCGAGCCATGATAAAACGTACTTCCATTAACTGATTTAATATTGAACTATTCTGTGTTTATGTTCTAATTTGCTTAAAAACATATATCACAGCATAAAAATGCAAAAAATCAAAAAAATATCTTGCTAGAATGCACTTTGGTCATAGATCTAGCATTGATATTGTCTCAATTGCTATTGTTCTGCACAGCCGCATTTCGCAATATTTTATTATTTGTGTGAATTAATTAACCCGTTATGAAGAATTGTAGATTTTGTTGTTTTTTTATAATAGCTAATACAATAACAAATAAAACTGTGTATTTAGATTTTTGAATGAAAAGTAAAAAGTAGACAAAAAACTTATTTATTTGATGGGCAAATTTTGGTTGCTTTTGTTATGCACAACACTGTATATGTCAATAGAGAAAAATAGTTTATTCTTACTGACGTTGTAGTAGAACTTTAAACCAAGCACAGTTAAAACAAAGGAAGTATATTGAAAATTATATGAAATCATATTTTAATCTTTTGCACAATGAAAGGATGTAAAATAATAGAAGGAAAAAGGTGTAGTGCTTTAGAAATATGTATATCTAAATTTAAGTTGCTTTTAGTAATAGAGCGCAACTTACAATGTATTTGTTTATACAACTACAGAGTTGCTTTTTTATAACTGTTATTGGTGCTAAATACACTGGATTGCTATTTGGAAATTATGCTTGGTATATTAATTTCTGTTGAGATTATACAGATGGATTTCTAATTTTTAAAATTTGAAAAGTTGAACTGTAATTGGGTAAAGAGTTTAAAAATATATGTATGACAATCCACATTATTAACAAAATTATCTTCCATGACATTATCCTTAAGATTGTCGTTGGAGAGCAACGGCATTATTACCGATTATACAAAAAACAGCGCAGATCAACTATATTGCGAATGCTTATTTTTATTCAATCACAGATACTATGCAAGACATCGATGCATCCAATCTGCAAGACATTTACTCAAAATGTCGTCGAAGATAATTCATTTTTTTCCTTCAAAATTGTCTTTAAAGATTGACATATATTTGAATCGTTTAATATCTTTCAGTTATATTTCTATGCCATTGCGGTATAGAAATCTATGACAAAGCCGCTCGTTTAATAAAAAGTACGGTTAAAATGGCTAATATTACATTTGCTATTAGTGGAAGAAAAGGCTCTTGTTCAAGGTTTCTTTTTCGTTTTCATTAAAGTCTTATTTAATATAGTAAGTTTATAGACTGTAACTACATCCGTCTATGTGAGAGGTTTTGGCTACGAAAGGATGACTGCAGCTATCCAAAGCGAAGTGGGCGCATGTAGCCTATATATCAACTTGGAGTAAGAATTGACAAGAATATTTCTGATATCATTTTTATTATTTTTGAACTCAATACTTTTTGAGTTGGTGTATTGGCAAAAAAAAAAAAACGTTCGTTAGCTTGACTTTCTGTTAAATTTTGTACTTTTTTTTAGGTTCATTTTTTTACTTCTCAGCAATATAATTTATTCTCAAAATAATAATTTAATTTATGATTGTCTTTGATTATATCCAGGTATGAATATGGTTTTTTAAGGTCTATGCGAATATGTTCAAAATTTTGACTTGTAAGACTTAGGAAAGTTTATTCAATTATATTGAAGACTAAAACCATTTCATTATTCAAGTAGTATCTATTTTACACTCAATATTAAAAATTATTGTCTTGGAATTATGTGCAAGAATAAAAAATTATTGCTGTGATTTACACTTGAAACTCAATAAACTTTATAAACACTATCAGCATAAGCACATTAGAAGCGTACTTAAGTACCCACGCACTTAAGTTTATGCACGTGTGAATGCGCTTATCTATTTATCAGGAATCTCAGCACAAAACTTATTCTCACACTGAAGGAAGACGAAAGACGAAAGACAAACGCCATATTTCATAGCCTTTTCTAGCATTTCTCTCCCTACTCCTGACAATGCCGTAGACAACTATAATCGTAACGAGTTGAAGTGAAGAAAAACGCGATTTTACTTTTGTCAAGCACGTCACATAAGATTTTCGTAATTTGAAAATTGCACTTTATTCCCAGCTTATTTGTTTTCGATTCATTTTATTGTTTGTTTCATTTTCATACTATATTTAATTCAACTTTTTATCTCCTTATCTGATGGCCCACACACGTGCCCCCACACTTCGTATCTGCGAGTGCTTGGAAGAGGAGCTATTCCATATAAAATCAATTTGAATAGTTGAGATTTTCGCCTTCACTTGCAAGAGCTCCTCTGCATGTGTGTATTTGTACGGATGTGTCACATTTGAATTTCTGAAATGGAAGTGATGCACGAGTCCTTCACATCGGAATTGCACAGCTTTCCAACCAAACATATGGTACTTAAGTTCCCACTATAAGTAAGTAAGAGCAATTTAACGAGGTAAGGAGAAAAAGAACGAAACATTAAATTTAAATATTTGATGTAAAGTTGATTTTTACTTAAGGACGAAAATTACACTTGATAAAAAAATGATTCCATAAAACAATGTTTAATAGTTCATTTAACGAATATTGATGCGTTTAAATATATATAGTTAAGATAGATATTACAAAAATACTTTTAAATGTTTAGCTTGAATAATCTCAACAAATATCATTGAAGTTTATTGAAGTTTATCTGGTGTAGAGAACGAATTAGTTGATAACATGGCCAATGCTGGCTCTGCTAAACATGGCCTTTTTCGATGTTACCTCAGAAGTACTTTGTTGGGTCAATGACTTTGAGGGTTGTGTGCACTAAGAAAGATGATGTAAAATGGAAACTTGTGAGATGACAAAATGCTTTTGTCAAAGAATCTAAAAAAAAACTATCATAATGACTATAGTAGTTAAAGATAAAAACATCAGAAAACCGATAATTGTCACCACAGGTCACAACACGGGTAGAAAATATATAGTCCCAGTAAGAATCAGCGCACATCCGACATGTCAATATTATCTTGAGGACATCAAAAGTGTTCTATACTTTGACTACTGTTGCACAGCATTAGGATGTCCTAAGCATAAGCAATGTTCATGACTTGTCCCACTTAATATTTTTACATTCCTTAAAAAAAACTAAGAAATTTAATGTAAATTAGCTTATTTTCTCCATTTCAATCATTCGTTATTTCTTTCTGGTTCTTTTCTTTCTATTTTTTATAATTTTTTCGTTTTTGTTCAAGTGACTGAATAGTTTTATTTTTATCCAGCACTAAATTCAAGTAGAAGAGAACTAATCTCACACCTACAAATGTATATATATAGAATATATGACCTAACAATCTTCATTAGTGAAGATCAAGTTCATTTTATCAGTAATTGTCACATTTTTTTGACTGGGATCTAGTAGTTTGCTTGTTTATTATGAGATTGAAGAGAGTGGGTCTGCGACTAATAATTCACGGAAATGACATGCAGTCACGTTCGCTTTTACGATATTCCATTGAGGTCAACGTCGTGTATTATTGATTTAATTATCGTCAACTATCGTGCATATAGTAAGGCTGGCGACGCTTTTATATGTACATACTATTCTAAGAACTGTGTCATGTTTCCATTCTTTTAGAACACTGTGACTTATACTGTACTTAGATATATCGGTTTTGCCACCTTTGTAGTACAAAATAACATTTACTATAAATTTGGTATACTGGGATTGACTTATCTGCAGAATTCGAGCATAAATATTTCTATAAACTTGGTAGCCCACCTGGTAAATAACTTGCCAACTGATGGAAGAAAAAACTTCAATATGGATTATTTGCTAAGGCTTTTGATGATGTGGATTTGTCAATACTTGAAACAGTGTTTTGTAGTCAGCCAAATTTTTATTAAATTACTAAAATATTTGTTGTTGTCTTTTCATTTCCATTCGAATCCTTCTTCCCAAAATATTATTTATTATTTTCAATTCAAACATAACTTTCTTCATATACATTAAATTTAATATTAATTAATTCATATATTAACAAGTCCAAGTAAACAAGTCCAAGTATTTTTAGAGTACAATTTGAAAAATCTATTGAATAGTGATACTTATTGCTTTTTCTTAGTAATGATTGGTTCATATTCTGGTTGGGTTGTTTTGGTTTTAGTGTAACAGAATTTTTTTTATTAATTTTGCTTTTTCCTTACCAGATAATTTACGCTGCTCATCATCTTGGTCCTCAAATTTAGCATTATTTATCCTTTGCGCAACATTCGATTCAATTCGCAAAGTTTGGTGAAGTAAGAGCGAAGCCAAAAATCCTTTAGGCGATTTAATTGAATTTAGTCCAATTTAGCCGAACTCGCACGCGCCATAAATATGCTTTTTATGTATCAAAACTATGATTTAATTTATATAAATTTTTTTTTATTGGTGTGTCTTTATTTTATATGATTTTACATTTTACATTAGTTGTTTACTAAATTTATCGGTAATTGTTTTTTCTTCACCTTAAATTTGACCTTTTCTCTTTATATGAAAATCTTGAACGACTGAACTTCTGGTTTCTGTGGATTAAATCAAAAATTATTATGGATTATTTAGAACAATAAGTTTTTAATATAGAATAAAAATAATGAAGTTTATTTTGAAGATGTTAAGTACTATAATAACTTCTTAAATTGAAAATACTTACTCCAGTATGTTTTAACAGTCCAAAAAACCAAAAAACACTTTAGTTGTTTTAAATTTTTCTGATCTAGACATTGAGAATAAAAGCGAAACTCATTGTCTCCATAATATATATGATTTTATTTTAACAATTTCTTATTTAAGAAGGTGGGAATTTGTTCAATATGTAATGATAGTTTCAGATTATTTATTTATTTAAAATATAAACAAATTTTGTACTTACTAACCTACGATTGATGGAGTCTATTTTCATTATTAATTTGAAGCATTTGATTGTATTTGTCTATCTCCCACTCTCGAAAAGTCCTGATTCTCGTATTGGGAGGAGACATATTAGGCGTTTGAATACTTGTGAGATTAAAATCTTCTTCGTTAATAACAGTTGTTTGACCTTCAATTGATCGAAGATCATTTATTTGGTCTACCTGAAAGCATTTAAAAAAGACATCTTTATGACGACATCAGTAACTATTTGCTATATTATTTCATAAAAAGTGTTTTTAAAATTACCTCTTTCCATGCAGTCCATTTCTTTAACAGAATGAAACATAATATTGCAACCAACCAAAGTGCACTCAGAGAGATTATAACAGATTGAATTTTATCAATAGGATTTTCATTCGCATCTTCAAGTGGATCCATTTCCTTCACGTCAATAGTTGGAGCCATGTTTTTTGTTTTTAATTGTGCTGACGTTAATAAAAGAACTAATAAAAAAAAGTAATGACTAAAGTTAAATGCTCAAGGAGGTTTATTGTCTTTAATAGATTAAGTAATATTGGCGAATGTATAAAATCTCTATAGTATCAGGTTTTCAGATGTTAATTTTGTTTTTGGTAATAATGACAGCTGATTTTTTATTGTGTATAAGTATTTATATATTCTGCATTTTGATCTAATACCATTTGTCTTTTTTTTGGCAGTAAATCATACCACATTCATTAAACGTTGTGTTATTGTGATAAAAATCTGAGTGCAGTCTTTCTTGACGTCCAAATTTAAGGTTAAGGTCATAAACCTTTCTATTGTAAAATTCCCGAATTGATGTAATCTTTTAAACAACTCAGTTCTTTGTGCAAATTTTTATGTAAATTGTTTTGTTAAAAAACACACATTTCTGAAGTATATAGGAATGTAGGTGAATTGCAAGAAGTTTAAATGTGAATGAATTAGAAACGTACCCTATTTCTTATATTTAATGAAAGTACTTTGGCGTATAAACAAAGACACAGAAGTACTGTGGCATCCGAAAAACCACACGAAAGATATGATGGCAGAAGAATTTACGTCAATGGTTCAATAAAAGACTAAGATCACTTTTTTGAAAATCTGTAGTTAAAGTCAAAGTCGCAATTATCTTAGCTAACGTTGAAGCGTACAAGGCACCTAGAAGAAGAAGAATGAAAGTAGGTCGGGTATTTAATAATCAGCCGGCCGCATTGATGATTGTAATATGTGGTAGATTTCTTTGTTAGAGATGATGCAGATCATAAGGCTGAATTTGTGTAAGCCGGAACACTGTCACAACACGTCTTTTAGTTTAATTTTTTCGAAACTTAGCGCACACTACCACAAGTTTCAATATATACGATATAATGTATTGTTAAAACCTATCAAGTTCTTCTACCCAGTTGTAGTATATTTTAGTAAAAGTTGTGGAATTTCTTTATTTAGATTATGTAAACCTTCACCTAGTTGCTAAATAATATGTTAATCTCTATTTAGATTAAAATTGGAAGTGACAGAGGTTCCATTAAATACGCGCTGAGTCTCGATAGTTTACCATCATGATCGTGCCCTGTTACATTCTCATGATGAGTATATTTAAAAAAATATATATTACAATAGAGTAAAGTAGACTTACCAAATTTAGCATAAAGATAGTTACTAAGCACTGAAAAATTTCAATCTGTTTTTCCTAATGATTTCTTTTGTTTTTGTGTTAATAAAAAAATAAAATAAAGACCAACATATTGCCCAGATTTAATTCTTAAAACTAAATCCATAATTAATATTTTATAATTTATTATAAAAAATAACTTCATTTCAAATAAATCGATGCATATCTGTTAAAATATGTTAAATTCAACAATAAATAATTTTGAAATAATTGAAATAATTAATTTCAACCACAATAATGCTCCAAATTACAAAAATTTATGGATATAATCAAAATTTAAGAATCTATTCACTTTAGCTCGATGTGGCTACGTTTTGCCTTCACCTTGAGTATGGCTTTAAAACGGGTGAAAAATGAAATGGATGCTGCACGAATATGATCTTCCGGTATTTTGGCTCATTCCTGAACAATGACTGTTTTCAGCGTATCCATACTGACATATTTTTTAATCCTCACCTTGCTTTTCAAAGTGGCCTAGATCGTATAGTCCATCGGATTTGCATCTGACGAACGAAGTATAGAATAAAATTCTCTAACCTTTCTTGGTTCATATGAGCACCGTCTCATAGATACCAAGTCTTGTTGGATGTCCATGGTCTACGACCTAAATGTTTGCCATAGGCACGGCTCTAAAACAACTTCCAAAATATTTTTCCGATAATAAATCAGTTAGTTAATAATAAACAGTTCGAGTTTATGAACTGTTCAATGGAGAAATTTTTTTCATCAGGGAACACAATGTTTGGAATTTCGCCACTTTCATGCTAGCGTAAAAGACGTAAGATCTTGTGTCTTTTGAAACTTGTAAGGCACTAGCTTGTTACCTTGAGTTCATTTTGGAATATGTGTCGGATCCTTCGCTGGGATATATACCGTTATTTTGCCATTTCATTACCACTGCGATGTGGATTTATTATAAGTGAAGCCATTCGCTTCACTTTTCAAACCATTTACGGTGATGTAGCTGTTTTTTTCGTTCGCCTATTCTATTATAATGATTTATAGTACGATACAAAAAAATAGCTGATGCCTCAAGAAGGAATATTCTAACCTGAGATTTAATTAAAATCTGTTTAAATCCACCAAATTATTTTTCTGAACGTATAAATGATAGATAAAAATATTAAAATTAAATAAGATTTGAAAGTGTCTTTGAATATGTGCTTTGACCGGAAGTTTTAAAAAATGAGTTGTGCTTGTTTGTTAGCAAATGACAACATTTCTGATAGACATCGCTTTATACTAAGTAACGGCGACATCATATGGATACATATTTTTCTTAGCTGTTTGCAGTACTCTTTTACTAACCCGTTTGATTCAAACTAAATTATGAGTTCCCTACGGGGGGTAATTGTAAAATGAGGATTAATGTGTTACAAATGATCTGCTACTCTAATCAGTTTTCTGCAGTAACGCCACGCCAAGAAGTTACGTATTCATACGATTGCTTATTAGATAAGTAAAGCAACGATAAGATACTTTGATAGCAACATTTTTAAGTACATTTTTAGGAGTACCATATAGTTTGCGGATTGGACCTTAGTAACCACGGTGATCATTTATGCATTTCAAAATTTATGATGTTATAATATTTTTATGATTATTAGTGTTTCTAATAGTTATAACTCATGTTTGCGCTGTCTTATAGCACTAACATTATCGAGTGCTGTAAATATGACGTTTATATTTCCATTATTTCTCTAATAGTTTAGGTACAACAATTTCAATGAGACCATTTTTAAATCAGAGATGGAAGCAAAGAAAAAGTTGTCAGCGACAGTGGAATCAGATAAGTTTTGAATATTAAACTAATCATGTATTGGCTTAATTGTTTATTAAATACTACATTGAAGAAAATAAACTAATTTTCAAAAATATAGGTTATATAAATATTATTCGAGATAATTTCCAAATAGAAATTATTTTACAATTCTAATTTATAATTTATATCAGATTAAGTAAGGTTATATCGACTATACCAAGGGATCCACATAGATCTACAGGCCCATTGTGTTATCGAATAATTAAAAATTCAGGAGTGAGAATCTCTTAGAACCTTTGGCAAAGCTTATAATACTATTCAAGAGGAATCAAACTTCGATTAAGTGTGCCTAGATGTATTTAAAAGAAAATTATCTGTCGTAAAATTAGATTATATATACACATTTTTCATATGTTATTAAATTTGATATCATTTCATTTTACAAGGATATATTTTTGCGCAATATATAAAAATTTTAAATTTTGATTTAATTGTTGTGAAAATTAAATCTTTTAGTATAAAAGATTTAGAATTACTATCAAATTCTAGAAATAGTTGATTTTAGCCGAATAAATCAGAATTTAAGGATTCGTATTATGGTGAGTTGATGTATTTATTGGTAATCAATCGATAAATTCTTTCTCTTTAATTGTTTATTCGAAAATTGAATGTTATACAATCACATAAATCACAATATGTTAGAAATAATGTTTTTGAAGTTTTCCCTGCCTTTAGCAGTATGTACTAAATCTCTAATCGTTCTTAACCCAGTTCAGTGTCGGATGTTCCTCAGTCAATACATTTGATTTTTTCTCATGCCCCATTTGCCTTCGATTCTGGCTTCCACAATCAATTGCAGCAATTTATATTATATGACCAATTTGGACTCGGATGATATGGCCAAAATACCTTGTTTTTCTTATTTTGATAGGAGTTCTCCATCTTTTCTTAATCTTGTTAGAACTTCTTCATTGGATACTTTGTCAGTCCAAGGAATCTTCAGAGTTTATCTGTAGCACCACATTTTAAAATCTTTGTTTCTGTTCATTGTTAGGATTTTTAAAGTTTAGGAGTCCTAGCCATAGAGTAGAATGTACCAGACATAGCATTTAACGTAGCGTAAATTGATGTTGATGTTGCTGTTGCATACCACTTTTTTGAATTTTGCGGAAAGGGTTTCTAGCGATCTATATTTCTTGGTCTGATGTCCACTCTTAATTTAGCCAGCAACCAAAGTATTTAAACTGAGGTTGTTATGTAGTCGTTTTTTACTGATGACCATGTACTTGGTGGTTTTGATATTCTATAAATTAATCTATAGTAAGTATTGAAATTCATTTTTCATTTTTGAAATGCAATTTTAAAATATTTTCCATTTATTCGACTATTACCATACCAGCATTTCACATTCTTCACTTGTCTTCCAAAAATCTTTGTCTTTGACGTTTTGTATCTGAGAAATGATTGAAAAATTTTTTTTTTAATAAAAGACATATTCGTTTGATTTTCGAATCTCAAAGTTAGCATTGAAAATGAATTTTGATAGATATAAAATTTATTTTATCAAATAGATTTGTATCGAATTCTATCACTAAATTTCTTTAACGAACTAAATATTTCAAATATATTTCTTTTCATCAAGTAGATTTATTTCGGATTCTGTTACTAAATTGCAATAGTCAGAAAAATATATTTATTGAAAGGATTTAGGTATAGAACCAAAAACCGGTGAGTGATTTAATAAATAAATTGTATTTGTGTAATTTAGTTCGTGAAAATTATTTTTCATGTGTATTATAATTAGTCCCATTATCTAATTATAATTAAATAAAATAACATTTAATATCGTATCTGGTTTTATATAGCTTTTCTACATGCGGTGATTGTGAACGCCTAATTTCACGTGACAAATTTCAGGGTTTCTATATGGCAGTAACCTTGTGGTGTGGTATAGATTATCTTTAATGACATATAGTACTTAGGGAGTTTTTAGCTCTCGATGTGTATTATTGTAAACATTATTGATTGTGACCTTCAAATAAGTTATGCTTACTAAGTCTCCATTCCGCATTTCCAGATTGGAATATGAACAGAGACATAAAGAAATTAGTTATCAAATTGAAAGATAATTAATGGAATAATATTAAGTATGTGAGTTACAATATTTAAAGAGACTGTATTTCAAATACTGGTAGTTCGAATCGATTCACTACATTTCTGTTTCATTTCTAAAATGAGATATTATTAGGCTAGTCAACAGCTTTAATTTGTTTGCATTAACTTAAGAAACTTTCCATAAATGTGATTATAAATCTTAAACTTCAATAAATTGGAAGTATTCTCTCTTCAGTAATCTTTATATATATGTTATAGTTAGATTAGTTAGCAATTCGTCTAATTTGAAATTAACAATTTCGTGGTTCTGGAAGTAAACGGCTGCATTGTGCATGAATCATGTGTGTTTGTAGCCTGTTAGGTCACTAGTTGTGAAAAGTGGCCTAACTAGCAATGGCAAAGAATTATAGTATGTAAGAGTGGCACCACTGATAATAAGTGCCAGCCTTATGTCTTCTTTTTATTTATATTATTACTATAACTATTATTATCATTATTATTGTACTATTATTAATATTACTATTACTAGTATTATTTTACTATTACTATATAATCATTAGCACCTCTACCCTATACCTTTATACTTTTACTACATTTACCTGTAGTAGTTGACCTACTGACGAGGCTATGTTTGTTCAGTTTTTTGACCCTATATTTTGATGAGCCAACGGTAGTGCCTATGCGAAAGTGTACGTGGACTGCAAACATAATACCGTTTTCAAATATATGTTGATATTTTCTTTAGTTTCACATAACATGTTTTCCCCTGACACAAATAAACGCGTACGATGGATACTTTATTTATTTATTCATTTAGATATTTATTTTTATAGTTATTTATATATTTATTCATTTATTTGTTGACTTATTTATATAAGTTATTTTAGTAATTTTATTTTTGTCATTTATTTAGTTATATTTACATTAATTGCGTCACGTTATTGTATGGGAATAGCATAAACCATTATATTTTAAAGAGTGGTAGGGCTAAGTATATCTACGATGCTAATTTCCAGTGGCTAGCCACCACTGTTGTTTAGATGTTGTCATTGAACAACTTACAGAGGGCATAACTTTGTAACCATAATATGGTTATGAAACCATGACAGTGATAAAGCTCCAGAAACTGGAGATTTGAGCACAAAGAAAAAGTATACAGAGGGGCATGGCTTTATAACCATGATACGGTCATGAGGCCGTGACAGTGACAAAGCTTCAGAAGCTGGTGTGTTGAGTACAAAGAAAAAGGAATCGGAAGATTTCGTTTGAATTTGTATTTGAATATTTTGTTTCAATATCACCAATAGATGTGAAAAACAATATTTTTTAAATGTTATTGACGAAACAACTTACAGTAGTGAGTCCTTACGAGTTAACTATTCATAAGGAGTTGGAAAATGTTGACAGTAACTGTTATCTTCAATTTCATGCTTACAAAAAATGAAATTATTAACTTTATTGATCAAATATAACAGATAGTATTACGTCTCTGAAATTTTCATAAAAAGATGGGCATATCACATCTCTAAATCAAATGCCACACCGTATATCACCAAAAATATATAATAAAAGTATTATTTTTTAAATATAAATCCCAATTTCCTGTCTTATAATTATAATTCTAAATTGTTACAGTGCTTGCTGAATTTTGGTGTGAAAACCTGTATTAAGTTTTAAAAGATTACGATCTCTGGAAAACAAAATACTGTAGGTCAAGTTCAAATCTATAGTCTCTCAACTGTAAGTATTAAAACCATAAAACTTTTTATACTTCCTAATTAAATAAGTAGAGAATTTTATTGCAGATATAAATTAAACTCAATTGTTAAATCGTCCTCCCTTTTCAGTTTATTAAAGCAGAATGGGCGGATACTTTGTTAACGCCTTAGCAAAATTTGTGTTAAAAAAAATTGAAAGCGAACCGTCAACGCCATTATTCTATTACATTTTTCCATCAGTAATCATTGGTATAGCTATATACATATTCATCACAAGTATAAAATCCTGGACCAGTGATGACAAAGTATAAACAAACTATCTAGATTGTTAATTCATATAAAAAAATATCTTTTTAGGTTAAAACACAAGCAGCTGCTAGTGATCACTCAATGAAAAATAACATCACAAAGACTAGAAAACGTGGTTTAAAGAGGTGTCGGAAAAAAAGTAAAAAAAATAACTCGGAAATAATGAAGTCTAAATATATTGACCGTAGTAAGTAATTTCTTTATAAATTCATAAAAATTGATGAAAAACTGATTAAACTATCTTATGAAGATTTACATAATTCGACCAGATAGAAAGTGGAACTAGTACTGACCTCGGAAAAACGCGCAATGGTTGAATGTATATATTGTGTGAATATTCAGTGCAGTTGTTCTCAATGAATATTTTCCATATGAATAATAAACCAATCTTTTAATTAGCCTTCATGCAAATGATACACCAAAGAAAGTTCTAGACCAATAAGTTAAAGAGATATAGGGAAACAGAAATTGATGTAATTGATTGACATTAATGTTAAAATAAATTTTTGTTAAATAAGCTGGGTAAATTATAATTATAATAATCACTAAAAACTGAAATGTATTTGTTTTTAAATTTGTTTTCTTTTTTAGATTTTGAAACTATGACGAAAAGCCAAGGAATTAAGAAATTTAAATAAGTGATGTGACACGTAATCTAAACGTGGCAAATATTGTAAATAAATCTTAAGTCATTATCTATGACAAAAAAAAAGATGATGTGATGATTCTGCCAGTAATAATAACTGATTTTTTTCTTAATTTTATTTAAATACTAAATTATAACGTTAAATAATTTTAACTAAACAAGGTCACATCATGGGTGGTCCGCGAGATGGTTAATAATGACCCGTGAGTCAAAGTCAACAGGTATGGATACATAACTTGTTGTGTGTCTACTGAAATCTCACCTCTTAGGAAATAAGCACGAAAAATTTCCAAGTAATAATATACCTATTTTATAGCCTATATAATATACTTATGGGTCATTTTTTTACAAAGCGGACACCCTTTCGGCCTTATCATCACCGATTAGATTGAAATTTTTTTTTATGAGCTCTTTTTGTAAAATAGAAAACCCGTTTGTCGGGAATAAGTTTTAAAGTTTTTTTAAAGGAATTATGAACTCGTGGGATCTTAAAAATTGGAATTATAGACATGTTTTTATATAGTCATGTTTAAGTAATATTCGTAAATGGTTCGAAAAGTGAAGCGAATGGCTTGACTTAAACTAAATCCATGTCGTAGTGGTAAATGACAAAATAACGGTATATACCGCAGTGAAGGATCCGACACATATTCCAAAATGAGCTCAAGATAAGAAATAAGTGCCTTACAAGTTCACTAATTTGGCACAAGATCTTATATCAAAGTAACAAAAAGAGCAAAGAAGTTGTTAAGCTTGCTTGAACGTGGCGAATTTCCAAACATTGTATTCTCTAATGAAAAAAATTTCTCCATTGAACAGTTTATAAACTCTCAAAACGGTATTGTTTACTTAACTGAATGCATTGCCCTTTACTGCCATTTGAGACTATGAATGGTCACCCGAAGTAATTTTTCATATCAAATAATGGTATGGGCACCTGTGACCGCCGATAGACGCTCTTCAATCGTTTTCGTCGAGCCTGTTGTCAAAGTCAATGTGATTTATTATCGGGACATTGCTTAAGAGTTGTTGGACGTTCCAACAAGACTCAGCACCGATCTCGGTCTCATAAAGCTCGTGTGAACCAAGAATGGTTAAAAAATCAAAAAACATTTCACATTTTATTTCGTCTACACAATGGCTTTCGAGTTCACCAGATGCAAATCCGATGGACTATACGTTCTATACCTTTTTAAAGAGCAAGGTGAGAACTAAAAAATATGGGCTAAAATACCGAAAGATCACATTCGAGAAAGATGCAATTCATTTTTCAACCATTTAAAGGTCACAGTCAAGACAAAAGGTAGCCACATCGAACTAGACTGAATGGATATTAAAAATATGATTATTTCCAAAATTTTATGTGATATGAATCATTAAAAATAGTTTCACACAAAAAAGGATATGGTCGCTTGAATAGGTAACACTTCAATTCTCTAACCTTGTACTATTGGAATTATTTAAATTTGGGATATAATAAATTATTTATTATTATTCATATGAATAATAGAAGAAAAAACAATTTAAAGATTTTCACATACTAACTAGATAGTAAAGCACGTAATATCATTTTAGATATAAGCCAGAGGCAACATTTTAATTAAATGCCAGTGACCGTGAGCAACACGTGTGCGTTTTCCCAAGTAAGTTGGGTTAAGCCCCGAATTCGGAAATACTAAAAAGTTCATTGCAATAATTTACTGCAGGCCAATGGAAAAGTTTTTTACTGCATACTGGCGCAGTTTAAACCTGAAGCAATTGCTCCAGAGGTTAAACTGTATGCAATGTCATTTAAAGTTGTTGCTAACAAAACTTTGGCAGTAACCCCAATTTGGAATAATCTTGAAACTAAAAATATTTAGAAATATACTTAGGCAAAAAATTTTCTTTATATGCAATGAGTTACAACCTTTTTGTTGTTTGCGAATTATTCAAGATATAATTGCTGAAAACTAAGAAGATATACTGCACACAGTGAAACAATATTTCACTCATTATCCTTTAATAGTCTAAGCATATTTACTAATGATTTCTTCATAACTACATACAATTTAAGGTTTGGCATTGGTTTCTCTTAGCGCAAAAGTGTGTATATTCACACATATTTATTTATAAGGAAGCTGGCGTAAAAAGATGTGTAAATTTATGTATCTAAGTTTGTCTATATCTTGTGTGTAGTGGCTGCATATATTGATAAAGCACAATGATAAAGCACACGAGATATAAAGTTATTTTAGTCGACTGCACCTTCAACTGGTTTAGATGGTGTAACAATATTTGCACTTAACTTTAGGCAATTAGTTAAACGAATGTGCATAAGGACCCACGTAATATTATACATACATCTTCTCCTATATATACTTCTATTCATACATAATAGATGTAATCGGGAATGTTTAGGCGATGTTGATTTGCATAAATTTATATTGTGCGCTTAGTTTAATATTGGGCGACTTAATATTCACAAAGTTTAACAGATATAGTAAGCTGATTAAGTTCTTATCAGCAGTACACACCACATACATATAGTATGTTTATAGTGTAAACATAATACCATACATTTTTCTTACAAAATTAGGAAAAACTAAAAGCTTAATGTCTTATATAGCTCATAAGTTATTTCTTATTTCATCAAAAACTCTTCCGCGTAACTGTGTGGGTATACAGGTCGGCCCAATCAAGTGGAAGGCAACACTCCATACATATTTTATCCAATAACTCCTAATGTTTTTGGCTTAGTTTATTGGAAAACAACTGGTGGTTACTGTTTAAGTCCCAAAAGTGAACCTTCTACGGCTTCTTTTTTGAGTATTTCCTGTATATTTTTTTCCCATATGTTTTACGGAGCAAACATTAAGACCAATATTTTTTAATTCGTGCCAAAATATTCCAAAATGAAGCAGTGCGCCCTTGTCGTTTCTTATTTAATACAAAGCTTTTATACTATTACATTTACACTGTCACCGACAACATATCTTTTCAATAAAACTGATAATTGAAATATTGAGAAACCCTGTTTATTAAGGCAAGGAATGATTTGAGAATGTTATAAGATATAAATATTATAAATATTTTTAATACACATATGTGTCTTACAATTCAGAGGAACTTACTTTAACTTTCTAAAGTGACTTTTTCGAAATATCTATTTGTAGACAATAGACATTTGTCTACTGAGTCGATTGGTAGCTAAATTTCGTATAATGAAACTTGATAAATAAGTGCACTAGTTTGAATGATCTGCTATATGTTAGCACTATTTGTATCAGCAATAATTATGACAACTCAGCAGCACAATTTTTTCAATTAAACGTTTAGCCAAAATCGTTGCAATATTAAATATTTGTTAAAAATATTACTAATTATTGAATAAATAAAAATTATATTAAATTTATATAGTAAATTAACTGTATAAAGCGTTTTAACAGCATTTTCTTATTTGATCGATAAACTTCTACTGCTCAAACGCAATAGACAAATTTATTTATTTATAGTAAAAAATTTTTTATCGGTTTGCAGTTCACAATACCAAAATTTGGTTTTGTCTATCAACGATAGAAAGTTTTTTATTGTCTATCGACAATAGACAAAACACAATAGGCACTCAAGTAAGTTAATAAATTCAAAATGATTACAGGCTAGTTAAAAATTAATACTCTATAGTAAATCTTCACAGAAGATAGTAGGCAGTTTTTTTTATAACATATGTATGTACCTTAAAATGAAACTCAAAAAATAGAGTTGTGTAATTGTCAATTTAAAAAAAAATTTGTTTCGGAAAGCCGATTGTATATTTTTCTGAATCAGGAGATCAAGTGAGTTTTGTCGAAATTATGTAGTAGTATTTTTACAGATTAATTAATTTTTATTCAATATTTTATGATACTACTTATCATATTGTTTGGAATTATTTGGTTATTATAATTTGGATTATCGTTGTTTTCAAACCAACACAATTTTTTCAAATGGGACTTCTTATTGGAACATGTATTTGTGAAATTAGAAAGTATGTGCGGTTTTAGGAATGTTTTTGAATAATTTTTATTTATTAGTTTTAGACATTTTGAGTTTTTCGGGGTGCCTCGTATTTCCATTGGTATATAACTTCTGTGGTTTATGGTGGTAAAAATTTATTCAACTGATTTTAAGCGGCTCATCAGTCAAACAATTTTGCATCAATAATAGTTTTGTAGAGCTTGTAAGTTATCAAGGTCCCAGGATGTAGCATAAGAAGTCAAAGATAAGGATATTATTTTCAGATAGAAAATGTTATTTCAGACGAGAATCAGAATTTCTCATTAGTATGTACAACACAAAGGACCTATCTTTGTCTTTGATTCTAGAGCTCATTTTTTATATTCTTTGTTCATTTACTTTTGTTCCTAAAAGAATATTTACATATTGGATACTACATTCAAATACCTATATAAAATAAAAATTATACTTCTTTAAACTAATATGAATATAACTTGAAGTAATACGATTATAGAAACTAAATATCAGTGGCATTCTTTGACATAAAGTTCAATAAATGGACAAATTTTTGTGTGCTTTGTTTTATAATGCTATATGCTGGAAATTCTGGAGAACTTCCTTTCGATATTTATCTTGAAAGTATTTTAATTTGGGATACTTATCTAAAACATTGTTACTGAGTTCTTTCTGTGCTGAAATTTTTAAAGATGGAAAGACTTAACGATATGCAGGCAATTGTATGCCATCTGGTTACTTTTCACTAAATGAAAATCCATTATTTTTATTGAGATGCCCCGTAGAGATATCAGTCTTGTGGTAGGTTTGTTTACAGGTCACTGCAAACTAAGAAACCATGCTAGAAGATTGAATGTCCCTGTCAATTGCATCTGTCGCAGCTGTGGAGAAGACGCTGCTCTGTCTTTGCTCAGCTCATGCACGGCGGCGACTCAGCACTTCAGGAGCATCGTTTCTTGAGGATCTTGATCAATTACAAGACCTGTCAGTAAACAGCATTTTGAGCTTCGCCGAAGGTTTTAGGTGGTTTTAAACCATAAATTTTCTTTATATGCTGTAATATAGAAGACCAATAGGCCTAAGTGGATCACCTAGGGATCGTCGGTATAACCTCACCTAACCTACTTAAAACATATATTTACATAATTTAATGACTATTGCTAACTTTTGTGGTTTTGAATTTACTTAACTTGCTCCTATAGTACTTAGCATTTACGTTGACACGATGGCTATATCGATGTGAATCGAATTCATCATAGTTATTCACAAGTAGCTCTAATTTCAAATAGTTTGCTTAATTTTTTTTTTAATTTTCTTCTTGATTCTTGATTCTTCTTCTTCTTGAGTTAGTGCTATTACGCACTTTTACTCTATAATGGCTGGGAGGGCTTATCTCTACCCCACACTAGACTTTAACTAAGCTAAAAAAAAAAAATCATATCATTTATTTGTCTTTCAGTTGATGACGGATCTTAAATCAGCATATCTTCCTGAGAGTCCAGAAGTGGACTTGAGGATTGTTAGGGCGGGGTTAATTAGCGTATCAACTTTAGTGAATAATTTTAAAGCTCTGTCTCTGATATATTTTTTCACTGAATCAATCCTAAGATCTCTATGTATATCTGTTGATCTAATATACCATGGAATCTTAAACAGTTTTCTTAAAGCCAGGTTTTGAGCTATCTGTAATTGCTTTAAGGTAGTATTTGAGGCTTTGCAATATGTAACACATCCGTACAGTAGTGCAGGTCTAATTACTTGCGTATAAAGTAACTTTCCGTTTTTAAAGTTGAAGTGATAATTATTAAATAGCGGCTTTAATAAATGTAGAATCTTAGAGCAGCTATTCCGTTTGTATTTCAAATGTTTAAGTCAATTGCACCGTTTGTCAAAAGTGACCCCCAGATATTTTATGTAATCCTCCCACTGTATCTCCGTATCGCAAACACTCACTCTTGGAGGATGCTGTCTTCTTTTTCGAGTTATAAATATAGCCTTGATTTTGTCATTATTAATTTTAATCTTCCATTTTTGGAAGTATTCTACCATAAGGTCTATATTTCCCTGTTAAGTGTTGCTTACATTTATGGCATCCCGATCCGAGTAGATCAAGCACGTGTCATAAGTGCATTTGTCATAAATTAATAATTCTTATATGTAATATAATAATAATAGTTTGAATTTTAACTTAGTTTACATAAAAACTTAAATTTAAAGTACATATTTCAAATAATTTTTTTTAATTAAATTATTTCTTTTCTATAGTAAACACCAGCTTTTGGTTTCATACTTCAACACATTAAAGATACAAGTTGCATATTGTCTAATAATGCTTCGAAGTAGTGTATCACCTGGTCAGCCTCAGGCAATAAATGCAAAATTTTTGAATCGTATTAAAAAGGACTTGGAGGAACTTAAACTTTCACCACTTCAAAACATCACTGTAAATGTGCTCGATGACAACCTTACTACATTAGAAGCCGTTATGAATGGAGAAAAGCGTACTGTTTATGAAGGTGGTATATTTAAACTCAGCATTAATCTGCCTCCGCAATATCCGTCTAAAGCACCGCTGATTCACTTCGAGACGGCTATTTATCATTGTAATGTAAGCAGTACTGGTTACATATGTCTTGACAAGCTTCATAAAGATTGGCAGCCATTATGCACTCTTTCTCAGATACTCTTGGCTATATACGATATGATGCACGATTGTAATCCAGCTACCGCAGTCAACCCCATAATTGCAGATCTGTATTTGTACAGTCGGGACGTTCATGATAAATATGCACGGAAGTGGACTAAGTTATATGCCGGAGAAAAGAGCAAAGCGCTGCAATTATCTGTGCTGTGTCGCAGTGACTTGGGCGGCAAACTTTATGATCGTTGCATATGCAAGTTCTAGTGTGATTAAGCGATTAAAGAGTGTGGTATATATGATGCAACGCTGATCAAGAGGTTCAAAATAATTTATATATTTTCGTTATTTTAAAATTTTGGGCTACAATTGTTTATAAACAACATTTCTTTTTATATAATTTTTTATTTTAAAGTTTATGGTTGATTTTAAATTATGCCTTCAATTGTGTTTTGAATCATATTTAAAATTTTGTATTCTATTTTTTTATGAGCATTATTTGCAATATTATTAAACAAAAAAATTTGCTTCGTTTTATTTGCTTGTTTTATTTAGAAGAATTCATAAAAAATATTAGTTCGTCATTAAACTATACAGAGTTCTGTTGGTTACATATAAAAATTTTTAATCAAAATAGAATCGTAAGATCAAGGGCTACTTGGCCCATCAATTCCAAATATAGAACCTCTGACTTAATTTGTAAAAACAAATCTGAGGTGTCTAGGCTAATATTTGTGTTTACGGGACACTGGTCCATAGGACGACAAGGAGCTAGACTCGGCCTTCCCTGTGGTACCTCTTGCAGTGCGTGTCTACTAGCTCTTGAAGAAATGACACCAGAACACCTGATGTGTTTTTGTCCAGGTCTAGCCAGAATTAGGTTTAAGCTTCTGGGGGCCCCTTCTTCAACTCACTTAGCGATATCTCCAGCATTAGCATTAGCCAGATTCTTACCTTTGTTAATGCCTCTGGCTGGTTCTAGTTTGACCCTCTATCTACTACTCACTATTACAAGGTTTTTTCGTGGATTCAAAACGGCTTTCCTTTTTCTTTTAGCTAATTGGGTAGGATTCGTCCTCCCTCCACCACAACTAACTAACTAGAATCGTAAGATGTTTATATTTGTATTGAGTCTCTACTAATTTCATAAATGTTAATGAGGAAATTTACAAAAATGCTTAAAACACTACAAAAACCTGAAAAGAATAGATGAAGACACTATTACTTGATCAATATTTCTGTTATAGGGTTATTATTAAAATCATTGTGCTTAAAAGTTTTCAGTTAATCTCTTTACCATAATTTGGGCCTTATTGTTTAGGTGATGCAGTCTTATAGCAAAGTAAAATGATGAAATATTATATTTAACACTTCGTTCAACAATGTGTGTGACTGACACATAAATGGCACTAATAGTAAATAAATATTTTTTTTCGAAAGTGGCAACCTTTTTAGGCTTACTGTCAAAATCATATGTTAATACGACCATTTGTTTACAAGTTACAGTTCAAAGCAATTCCGTGTGCTGATTTATCATTGTTTTTTAATGAAAAAAAATACTCTTCAATGCCAGGAATGGCTTGAAAAACATTATTCGGACTCCATCAAAAAGAAGCATTTGTCATTGGTATGCCGAATTCAAACGTGATCGTACAGACACCGATGACATTCCATCTAATGGACGGCCAAATGACGCTGTTATTCCGGAAAACGTTGAAAAAACACTAAAAATGATCACACTATTACGTTTGAATTCCATTTTAAATATCTTTTGTTCTATCAAACGTAAATGCAAACGCTTGTGGTAACTAGTAAACAATATAAGCAGCTATCAAATTTGATACCCTGTCATCGATTTAGATCTCATTAAAAATTTGTACCATCCATTGGACAGTACCCAGTTGCTTGGATGTCAAGAACGTTTAATGATAATGTTATCAAAATATGAGTTAATAAAGAATGAGGAAACATTAATAAGTTGTCGCAGTAAAATTTATATTTTTGACTTAATTTTCCATTAAGTCTGTATGGTCTATAATGTCTATATGGTCTAAAATTGATTCATAATATTTCCTTTATTATAAGGTCGGAAATATAATAATGTATCATAAACATGGTATTGCTTCCAAAATTTTCATTAGATCATGTTCACATACAGTATGTGTCTTATCTATAGTTATAAATCTACACAGACACTGTTTTGGACCACCCGCAAATGTTCACTTATTCGTGAACGGAGAAAAAATACGTCTGAATATATTTCTATACGCAAATACTCCACCAAAAGATAATCACTAGATTGTTGATTTTATTCACCATATATTTTTGAGTTATATACGATACTCTAGAAACCTTACTTAAATAATTCCATACGATTGTGAAGAATCTTCATATTGCTGCTTAAGGCTTCGTATTGATTCAAAATTATTCAAAAAGCTAAGTGGTATAAACTGATAAAAAAATATAAAAATATATATTAATGTCTAAAAATTTAGCTTTTAAATTGCACTTAATTTCTAACTGCAGTTATTATCGACTTTTAAGTATATGAATATAATGATCTCGAAAAATCATATTATTTAGAAGATTTAAAGAATTGAATTAGTGCTGCAGCAGTGTACAGAGCTTAAAGGCGACTACATCGAAAAACACATTTATAAAATGAGTAAAAATTTAACTTCTTTCTTTTACCACTTACTTATCAAATACCCTTCGTAGTTTTTCTAGAGTTACAACATGAAATTGAAGTTCTTAAGATAAATGTGTTGATTTTAAATCAAAAATCTTTATTTAATATTTCGGATAATATATTAAGAAAACAGAGTAAAAGTTATACGGATTAAATAAAATAAATTAATTAATCAAATAAATTAATTTTGTGTATTTAAAGCGAATGCACTGCTCAATAAATGAAGTTCCATTGAGCATAAGTAAAACTTTAATTTATTTATTAATTATTAATTAATGGGCATTATTGAGTTAAGTAAACCGAAGTCAGTAACAAAATTTATTGATTGCGAATGTTCGGAAGGTATTTAAGCAATGGAGCAAAAGTGCTGGAAACTTCGATTAAATATTAAAGTGAATTTATTTGCGAAATGCGTTCAAATTGCGGTTGCTACGAATATTTATAAACTGAGTTTTTACAAAATTGCATAAATTTTCCACAACTCATAATAGGTAATTTTTATAGGTGAAAGCTTAAGCCAAGTGTTGAGTATGGGCTTATGCCTCTGAAACTATATTATCTAACAGATTTGAATGGACCACATCAGATGTGATTCAAGTACAAATGCAGTAGTTTTTTCATTCAACATAAGCACTTGTCATAAATCAATTCGCATTATGCAAAACTGCACGCCAATGTGCAATTAGTCAATTTCCGCTTTGTTCTTCCATTTTTTAAAACAGCCCACTTCCGCCTGTAAATAACAAAAGGATGTAAAACAAATTTAGAACACTGAAAAAGTATTTCAATATTGCGTAGGCCAGGCATTAATAGATTAAATAGAAATCGCAAATATGAGGAAAAAATATTCAAAACATTTTTCAACCTGTTTAAGTGACTTCTACATAAAACCAGATGTTTTGCTAGTACGAATCTAAGTGAATATTCAATATTTTATAGCATCCACTAACAAATAACTAAAGCCATCAAATATCATAAAATTTCTATATTTCTTTCGTTTATCAAGCTTAGTTACAGTATATGAAAAGGATGGAGGGAGTAAACCTAAGAAAAAAGTTTATTATCCCGCTTGTATGCTGAGTTGTCTAAAGACTATGAAAGAAAAACTGAGGAATAAGTCACTACAATGCAGTACATTAAGAAGCTAAACCCTTATCTTGTGCAGAACACCAGTAAAAGTTCTTCTCGTTCGCCGCAAATCAGGTAAATTGGTCAGTAATCCAGTGAGGCATACTTATAACTGTTCTTTTTTTAAACGAAATAAGAGAAGATATATATAACACACAAAAGAAGAAATCGGAAGTTGTATGTAAACTTACTGAACATCCATCTATCCATCTGTCCATCCGTCCATCTATCCACTTATTTGTCTTACTGCCATATTTTTAATTGTAGAATAATTTTTACTTAACAAATTGCCATTGTTTTTTATGATAATTAAAAAATGTGCCAATATTATAGAAATCCTATCAGTGCCTCGAGATGTAATTCACATTAGATTCTTACTTCATATCCTATCAGAGACACAAAGAAATTGATTGCTCGATTAGGAAAGCAAATAAAATCATCTGAGGAAATGACGTAAAATATGCTAATAGTTCTTTTCCACATTTCTTTTTATTTAAAAGGTTAGTAGAAAAAGGGATCATAAATTATTTGTACCACGACGGTTTATTGGTCGAATAATGTATTAATGTGAAACGCAAATTTTTTTATTTTTCTATAATAATAATATTATAGAATATTATTATTATAATATTTTCTTCAACTATCTTACTTTATCCTAACACAAACTATTAAATGAAAATAAGAACAAGGATGTACTTTTTTTTACTTAAATTAACTATAACACATAGCAGTAGAGAAAGAGTCTACAAACTGTGCCTACAAATCTAATTTTTCAACATTTTCTTAAATAAAATTTCATTTTAAATCTATAAACTTTTTCTATTTTTCTATTCAATTAACAAAAAGAAAAAATTCACTAATAAACTGTCTTCCCAATACTTTAACACCTAAATAGAGTAACGTAGCTCGTAGGATGTCTTAATATATTTTTATTGCACGTAATATCATACCTTATGCTGATATAGATGGTAAAAATTTGTAATTCTCACATTAGCTTTCTTTATTTTGAAGTATATTACTACATACGGCAAATAAGAGAAATGTCTGATTTCAATATGAATTGAATTGTTATAATATCAAATAAAGTTTCTTTGTATTAATACCATTTAGAAGTAATTCTATTAGATTTTATTGAACAGAAGTGATTTGTAGTAATCTGTCTTCCTAACATTTGACTATAGCTCTCATGTGGTGCCTTAACATATTTTTAGTGCGTGCAAAAGCATGACTTATGCTATTATTGATGGTAAAAATTTATAATTCTCATTAGCTTTATTTATTTTGAAATATATTATCGCAACTCCGTGAAGTGGAGAGATATCTGATTTTAATATATTGTAATATCAAACGTTGTTCGTGAATTTCCAAACATTTATTTATATTTGTACATATTATTATTTATTTGATTTGTACATATTATTTATGATGTAATTTAGATTTGAAGAAACGATTTTGTATGACTTCGATACATACAGAAAAATCGCCGAGTATATATTATATTTTGTTCTGAATTTTTGGTTTTGTCTGTTATCCTAAGTTATTCTATGTTAGCAAGT